CTGGAACTGACACTAGCTCTCATAGTTCTAGAGGATACTATGCTAAGGGAGAAAAATCAATCAATGGTCCAGGCCAGCTGTAAAGCCTAATAACCACAATGACTGGCACAGCAAACTATCTCTATTGGTATAGTAGTGGCACTTTTATCTAGGAGGTAATCAACAGCTATCTAATTGAACTTAAAGCCCTCTCAATGGGAGGGAACTCATGGGAGGCATTGTAAATATAGCCAAATACACATCGCTAGAGAGGTAAAAAATTCCAGAGAAAACCCAATCTCTGTCATATCTCTAGACAAATGAAATTTCTTACTGTATGCTAAATATGGATCATATTTATATGATATGGATCATATCATATAATCACATATCATATATCATTTATATGTATCACATTTAAATATGTATGCTAAATATTTACAGACAAGTATACTGTATACCACTCATCAAAGAAACTTCTTTTTGCAACAGATGGAGTATATTACAGACTTCTACAACTGGTCACACATAGAAAATATATGTCTGAGAGATACCCAGCCCTAAGTGGCACATCTATGGCAAAACCTCTACACTAAGGCTCATGGAACATAGTGAAATGGGGGTAGAGAGAATACTAAACTATCTCTCAACTCAACAGTGAACCTTCCTCGTACAATAGAATGTATGCACACAGGAGGCCACAACAGGCTAAGGTTTAGAGAATAAGAGACTATAGAGTATGTGTTGCTGAATGGGACTCCTATACTAAACCTCACCCACTCACAGCTCAGGGGCCATTGTGGAAGAGGAGGCAGATTGAGCCAGGGTTGTTGCATGAACATAAGGAAACAGGCTTTCAGGCCATTGGGAACTTGTTCATGAACTTGCAACAATGGTTTCAGCATACACAAGACTCATGTCAACTCAATCAGACAAAAACCCAGCATAGAAAGAGGGAAATGGGCAACAGGCCCCAACCCTAGTCAAGAAGCTATTGGCAAATGATTACTATCGGGGGAGGCAGGATAGGTCTTCATTAAGGGAGTGACTCTAGATACACACTAGACTCCAGGGGATGAACTTGCACTGAAGGATATCTGGGTACAAATTCTTGGCCAGATAGGACTTAACATACATGACAGAATACCTGAAATCTGATTGAGGGGATATGGGGGCAGAAAGGATGGAAGGGGTCTAAATTTGATTGAGATCTATTATATGAAATGCACAAAAACTCAATAAAAATGGGGAAAATTCTTTCTCAACAGCCTACTTTATATTTGACCCTGAGTTTCTCATTCTGCCTTTTGTTTTGCTTGGAATTTTTCATCATGTCTTTTTTTCTTGTTAGTTACACAAGGCATTTTTCTTCAACGTGATGCTTCAAGCTGCACTAAATTTATTTCTTTATCTTTTAAAAAAACATTATTGTACCTAAATGAAAAATTTTTACTACATTTATATGTTTGTGTATGTGTATGTGTGTGGTATATGTGTATATGTGGGTGCTCATGTACATACATGTAGAGGTCAGAGGACAACATTAAGGATTTGGCATCAGGCATGGCAGCAAGCACCTGCATCATCTTGTTGGCCTTATTTATTTTATTTTTATTAATCTTTTAAGTTAGAATGCAAAGCAATGGGTTTCATTATGGCATTTTTGTATATATGTCATAATTTTTTGTTGCAGTAGATTTAAAGTCTAGGAAGGAATCTCTAGGCTTACTAAAGGGCTCAGATTCTCTAAAATGCTTGGTCCCAAATATCTACACCTAATCTATGACATCCCCTCCCCCATTTTCCCACCTCCCTCCCTCTGCCACCCCTACAGGGACACGGATCTTTTTCTGTCTCTGGTGACAGAGCCATCAGCCACCACAGTGCCTACCTCCTGTGCAGTACACTTTTTTTTTCACTTTTTTTTTTCAATTAGAAGAAGCATTTCATTATAACAGCATTAACCTATTCAATAACATTTTTTCTGAGCTAGGGTAGATCTCTTTCAAAATTGGCTGTACATTTTTAGGTTTACAGACGAATTATTACGCTTATACAATCTTTTACTCATTATAAACTCTATAAGACATAAAATTAAATGAGGTTTTAACAT